GTCTACTATCCCCCATGATATTCCTGATTGTGGTGGACTGGATCATGCAGCAAACAGTAGGCAGCGAGAAGAGGGGGATACACTGGACGACGGAAAAGAACCTAGAAGACTTGGATTTCGCCGATGACTTGAGCCTAATGTCACATAAACTTGAAGATCTGCAGGCAAAAACTAACAAGTTGATAGAAGAGGCAGCCAAGACGGGACTTCAGGTGAATATAGAGAAGACAGAAGTGATGAAGATACCGCACCATCACCATCAACAACAACAACAACAAACTCCAATCACCGTCAACGGGAGAAACTTGAAGGAAGTAACCTCCTTCACTTATTTAGGAAGCACTGTTTCAACTACAGGCGGACGGACGAGGACGTCAAAGTCAGAATCGGAAAAGCAAGACAGGCGTTCATTAGCCTGAAACCAGTGTGGAGATCTTCTGCACTCAGCATGCGGAACAAGATACGGATTTTCAACACCAACGTCAAGTCAGTGCTCTTGTATGGCTCAGAGACTTGGCGCGTCACGAAAGGCATTTCCAATAAACTACAGACATTCATCAACAACTGCTTACGCTCGCTGCTGAAGATCAGATGGCCAGAAAAGATAAGCAACAAGGAACTCTGGGAACGAACCAACCAAGAATCTATCACGCAACAAATATGCAGGAAGAAGTGGAGATGGATTGGCCATGCACTGAGAAGGCCGACTGAGGACATCACGCGTCAGGCCCTCGAGTGGAATCCCCATGGGAAGCGACAAGTTGGACGTCCGAGGGTGACATGGAGGAGATCGTGCGAGCAGGAAATGAGAGCTTGTGGGCTGTCGTGGAACCAGGTTCAAAAGATCTCAGAGAACAGAGGTCACTGGAGGCGTGCTACTGAAGCCCTATGTTCCACTAGGAACCCAAGGGACTAATAATAATAATAATATATAATCAAAGCCTAATATACTATGGTATACCTCTCTGCGACCTGAAATGAAACAACTGATGCAGATTAGACGGGTAGTTCGTTTTCGTGACAAGTTCTGGAAACTGCAGTTTACTAATTGGTATTGATAAATGGTATCTGCAATAAGCCTGGGCTGGCAACTAGGATCTAAGATCCCCACAGGAAATTATTCCAACTATAGTCGTAACTTCGACAGTGACTTTAAAGGCCACCCTAGCAACTGCCGAGTTAACCAATCGTGTTTCTGCACTTTGAAATTACCATCACAGCCGACATACCGGAAGATGATTGGCTAATTTACCAGTTACTAGCTTGCTCTTAAAAAGTCGCTATGACTTCTGGTATTCAAGCCCTTATCCAATTTATGTATATGCAGATTGACTTAAAGGACTCAACCCCTTAGTAACAGTTAAGACATCTAGTTAGCCTTCTCCATTTTACGAAAATTTACGAGTGAATGAGGCCACCCTAGCAACTAATGTAGACAGCCAGTTGGATTGCTGTTTTGTGGAAAAGTACTTTTCCAGGCGAAATACTACATCCTAATTGGTCATTTCAGTTGCTGCTGCGGTGGCCTTTAAAATCAGTCAAATTCACCGTTATGACTGAAATGAATGAAAATAAGAGTGACTTTTAAGGCACCCTGACAGCGACTCGAGTGGTCAAATTAGGTTCCTTTATTACATCTGTAAAGGCAGGTTTTTTCAGAAAATTGAAACATAATTGATTAGAGTGTCTTTAAAATCACTTCAAAGGCCGCCCTAGCAACTGCTGAAATAACCAATTACGATCCTGGTTTTTGTAAGCTTCCTTTCTAACCAGATACCTAAACCTGATTGGTTACTTCATCAGTTGCTAAAGTAGCCCTCATAGCTAATTAAATATGCAATTGATTATTAAAGTCGTTGATAGAGTGGCGCCAAGGTCACTCAACCACGATCATGACACCTAACATTTCGGTAAAAGTATGCGACGGCTTGCACTTTAGTGGCACACTAGGGTGATTTACAGGCCAGGCCGGGCAACAAGCGAAATGTCCAATCCGGCTTCTCCATTTTGACTAGAAAGGTAGATTTTCATGAAATACAGAAGTCTAATTGGTTATTTCAGTTTTTAGGGTGGCCGTTAAAGTCCCTTTTCACACTACCCTAACCAGTGTATTCTGTGCAAGAATAAGGAATGGGTTTTTGATGACTCATTTCACTGAACATGTACTAGTTTCATTGATTCAAAAATGTGGAACCTAGTTACCTGGCCTTCATTAGGTTTACACAAGTTGGATATATCTACACATCAAGAACTTTTTAAAAACTGGCAAATATATTTTTGTGATAGCTATAGGGCGACTAGTTTGACTAACAATGCATCCAACATAGATACCAAAACCAAGTTGGGATTTTATAGTTTGAAAGGATTTGGGCATTCAGCAAATGGTATTCATTGTCTAGGTAACTCCTTCCTAGTTAACGGGAAATACGAATACCAACATAATGAATGTATCCAACACTTTACTGGTCATGGTCATTTAACCTCAACAAAAACCGCTAGAGCGATAAGTCCTAGTAGGTCAGATAACTTTCATACTTGGGTAAGAATGCATAGATTATGTATTCATCCTTCGGCAGTTTTAAAACCTTCTCAATACTTAATTGTGCCAAACACCTGTTATATTTTTGAAAGTGAAAGTCTCGTTTAACTCTCAGTCGAGATGTGGTGCGACAGTGTCTGACTGTTAAACGAGTATTAAACAAGTATGTTTCATTCATTAGGACTTCCCACTCATGCGATATTCATCATCTGAGGTGACGGCCAAAATTATCTCTTAGGAATGTCCATTGTTACTATTCCCAACGGCCAAGTTAATTTTGGTGACCTCCACCTTCCTGTTGGTTGATGTGCCATTGCAAAGGGACCTCGGCTGACTAAGTGGACTCAGACATAACACAACCCTGGTACGCAAAGATTCTGATGAAACAAAAGTCCTTCTAAACGTCTTGGACAGAAATATTAGTCTATTTGGCATGCATTTTCACAGCTTTAAGATGTCGAGTTACGTGCCAGAACTACTCTTCACCAACTTACGGTTTGAAAATAAACCGTCTTAAGATAGGCCATGCAGTATTCAAAACGTGGTGGGCCCTCACAAACTAAAGTAGCTGGGACGTGTATTTTGAATGACTGCCCATCGTTTATCATGTAATTGGGAGTGGAATAAGAGTAGAGGGAAGTTAAGAGTGACCAGAATACAGTTTCGGTTAATGACTGCCTAACTACTAGTTTAAGCCCTACGGTTTAGCTCAGGATAGATCACCGTTGAGCACATATGTTTACTTGTTATCATCAAACTTTCAATCAGTTTGTCAGCCGTTATTAGATTATTCTTCATCTGCCCCATATTCGTTTTTTCTTACTTTCAGTCATTCTACTTCTCTTGATTTCCTCTTTGTCGTTTTGGCGTCTGTCTGCTTATGGATTGTTAATTTCAACAGTCAAAAAGGCTTATTTACACCCATTTCAAATATATGTACTGAAATAATTGTTTTTTTTTGTTGCGCCGTACTAATAACCAATTTTTGAAGCACCTTAAGATTAGATTTGGTTGTATGCAATTGGATGCTCACACTTTCAAACATGACTTTACAGGCAGTCGAATCGAATCAAGACTCAGCACGTTCATACAGTAGGCAGTGAGCCACAGTTGTTGCTTGAGGGCTAATGATACTACCTGGGTGCCCAAACCTTGATAAGTGAAGCGGTTTCTGAGCCCGTAACCCACTGGTTGAAAATTAAGTGCCTAGACTAGTGAGCCACGGCTGTTTACAAACAGTATTAGTGATATGTTTTCGAAGTGTATTATGGATCTAACACGTTCAATATTTGTCGAGTGTGAACTTCCTTATTATTGTGGAGAAGTATCTCCGATTACAAAAATTCACTTATCCCTTATTCATTCAAGAGACAAAGTTCATTGAACTAACCCATTGTTTAGGATATATTTTCTTTTATACACTAAAGTTTTGAACATTTCCCTGACTAGTGTCTATCCATAATGAAAACCCCTTTGAAATCAGCCAGGTCCTCACAAACTTCCGAAGGAATATTGATACTAATAATATTCGACATTTTATTGACTTTCTTTGATACACAATAAAAATTAATTCCCGCAAGTGTTAATGTTTACGTACGTAATGAATCAGTTCATTTGAGCATAGAACTGACGTTTTAACTGCTGTTTTTCGTGTGTGAATTCAAGTATACTAGTTTCAGTTAATAAATGGAAATGGTTGTAATCTGTTCGGTGGCTAGCGGTGGAGCCCAGTGTGCGCATCTTTTCCTATTTGAAACTCGTTAGCTGGATGTACCTGCAATCCACTGAGTGATATTCCCGCCGGGACTTGTGCCCAGTACCCATCGTTTCAGACGCCAAAGCGTATCTGCTGGGCCACTGGGGCATGAGAGCCACCTCTTGTGCAACAGGCACCAGGTATTGGTTGAGAGTAGTAACTCATAAGTTCAAACCAAGGATGTTTACTTATACATGCTCTTACCTCAAAATATGACAATGTTATGGTGATGTCAGTGATTGAATGAGAATCTCTGTGGGACTAATGAGTGACACTTGTAATAAATAACTCATGTTTTCAGCAGCATAGCCTTGTTTGCTTAACATACTTCTGAAGAAATAAATCATTCGATATGCTCTTATTCATCTAACCTCTATAGGTCAACTTTTCCGATGTCAGATAAGCCTCTTTCTCATTGTGTTGTTTTGAAGATGTTGCTTGTGATTCTAGTGTCATTTTGTATCATGTAATTTACTTAGCATTTAGGCCATCGCCATTCGACATCATTTTTCTAGATTTTTCAACCATCTTGGTCATTTAAAAATGAGGAGAGTAAATAATGTTTGGGAAGAAATTTATGAGCTCATGTAGTCTTTTGTAAACTCCAAGATAATGTGGTTGGCATTACATTTGATCTAAATATCAACTTATGTGTGACGGTTTGATCATATTCATGATTATTATTCTCTTTCTTTTAAATAACAGGGAAGATGTTCCAAAGAATCAATTCTTATTGAAATATTCAAAAGATTACCTCAAAACTCAGGGATAAATTGTATGAATGATCTTCTGGTGACTGAATCTCGATTCACTTCAAATAGTACATCCGAATCTCCAAAATTTTACTTTTATACTCGGTCAGGGAGTACTTTTACTTATAGTGAACCCGTAAGTATAGATTGATATTTCCTTATTCCGCTTATGCGTAAACACATGCTTAAAAAGTGATGACAGTGTGAAAAAGGCATTCTTTCTAACTGATAAAAGACTTAAGTAATTCCATCTGAAAGCTTTTTGAACAAAGAGTATTCACTCTGATAACTTCTTTCCTCAGGCGCTACAATCATTTATCCATACTATTTAATCCAAGAATAAATGTGAGTCATTAACGGTGAGATATTACATGACAGTCGCCACTGGGTCTCATGTTAGCAGACATTTTCCCAGCTAAACTAGGAAAGGGTCCTCTGGATGGATTGAATCAAAACGTTTGCATTTTGCCGTAGATGTATCATTCTTTGATAAAACCCCTGGAATAAGTCCAAATTCAATGAATAATACTTAGCCATGAAATTCACATGTGAAAAGTTGAATATTCTATTCTTATCTTTGTGTCCATCTTCTTGGCACAGCAAATTATATCTGAAATTTGACCCCACTACCCACCCACTTTTTTTCTGTTTGATTACCGATTTATTTTTTTATTGGTACCTTTGATTTTTTTCTCTTTACTGGTTGGAATTGATTGATCTCTTTTGGCATGTCAGCTCCTATGCGGAGGCCTCGATGTAACCTGAAGATTCATTATGATTTGGTTTGCTTGCTTGGGGTTGCTAAGAGGAGAAATCCTATTTACTAATGTATTTTCCTTCTTTTGCGCTTGTAACCATTCTGATCGCCTGTCTTTTTCTTGGTCATTTTCCAAGTCTGCTTGTTAGATAAGTGAGCTTCCTATTTTGACTCTACATTATTTGTAGATAGTTTAGTTGAATGTTATTCATTTTCCTCATAATTGCTTTGGCGTTCTTTGCCACGGAAGCAAAGACTTGAAGGTACTGATTGTTATTATTCTGAATATAATCCTTATTTACGGTTAGGCTTTCATAATAAACCCCTACAACGTTATCCTGGACCTTTTCGGTCCGCGTGTACCTCGGCCTTCGGTCTATTAATCGCCGTTTTAGATTTAACATGAAATTGAATCATTGGATGAAATAAATTTTCGAAAGTTCCTGCTTCAAGAAAATCAGACGGTTTGCTGAAGAGAAACCTATGTAATGAGGTAACGTGTACGAGACGATATACACACTTCCTTAGCTTCGACCTCCTCCAATGTAAACAAAATCAGGTAAGGACTATCAGTTACACAGTTAAGGCTATCTGTTCAAAGGAGACGACTGATGGAGAGTTGAAGATCTTACAAAACACACAGAAAACAAATGACTGTCCAGATAAGTTCATAAAAAGCACATGATGACGAAAGTAAAAAGAAGGTATCTCATCTGTGAACATGGAAATACAATTTACAGGGGAATTGCCGTATGAGATAATTCAAAAGCTACGAAGATCTATGCGAATGGATTTTAAAGCGGGAAAATTGAAGCTGTTGTTTTGTACATGCACATTTGTGTTACAAAGCCTGAAAGGCCTAAAACCTGTCTAGTTCTTATTGTGTTTATCGATTCAACCGCTCCTGTGGAACCATTTATTCCACCCCAAGGCTCTGCAAATTTAATATTTTGCCTCTGAACACTTACCATATCTAAATAAAGATGCAGATGAGCTCCTTAGTTCAAACAGGCCATTAAACTAATATGATTCAATCATTTTTTGTCAGTTGTTGTGTCCCCTTTAATTTACAAAAACTGCCAGAAACTGAATACTTCGAACAGCAGAAGTTGTAGCCGATCCGACGTGGTGGCAAGATACATCTGTTACTGAACGTCAATTTTAGAGTGGCTGCAGGGACTTTGAAGTCTATTTGAAATGATTTCAGCTACATTATAACGACCTTAAACTGAAGGTTGATGAATTTTTTTTGCTTGCCACAAGTTTAGACGGCTGGCTTGTCAGTTCGTCTTCTTAATAAAGTTTTTAGATATACATTCTGTCTGAATCTACCCATAAAATCTCGTAACTCTTTACACATAGCATCAGAATAAATTCTCTTCGTGCTTACAAGCAGACATCGAACCAAGTTTGTTTTTCGTGACAGTGGAACAAAACTATAAACGTGTGAATACTTTCCACTTCAAAATGGTTTGTGTAAACATTGATGATCTACCATCCATCTGATCTAGTTAGAAGCACATCTAAGAAAGAGATTTTGCTGGGACTTTCGGGTTCATAAAACAAGGGTATCCACAGTTATGATCTGTCAAATTTCATGGACAATTCATTTACCTTCGTCTTCTTATTCCGAAAAAAAAGGTATCATCTACTATATATCTGCAATAAGTATCCAATGAATCTGTGCACATTTGGCTTCAAGATACAATTTCCTAACTTTAACATGAACAGGTGTGCAAATAGTGTTTCAGGTGGTAAGTTTATTGCTACTCCATTTTTCTGTCCGTATATGCAATCATCAAAAAGAAACTGGACATTGAGTGTGGACCGAAATGATAAGTTATATACAGGCAAGCAAACTAACGCTCAGTTTGCTTTCTATAAAACAGAATCTGGAGTTGATTCGAGGAGCTTTCAATCAAACTAGTTGTACTTCGAGATTCATCGCGAGGAACAAAATGCATAATCATTGCCAAGCTGAAATCCCTATGCTCACAAAAAAGACACTGTTTTTGAATTTAGGATTTAGAGGAAATAGAATGGCAAAGATATTCAAGAATCGATTGTGTAAAGCACGAAAGGAGACTTTCTTCCCCACCCAACTTTGGATTGTTTTCTCAAATCAACTGATTTGAGGGTGTGTGAAGGATAAACTGCTGCTTTGGGCAACTTCACCTGCAGTTGTGGAGCTGGTAGCACACGTACAAAGTGTGTTCTATGCACGTGCAACTCTGGATACCATTCTGCATGTTTATCTAAAGGAGAGTGAAAAGCAATTAACAGCTCGATTCTTGAACATGGGTGTTAGCTCTGGTCAGGATGTTTCTCCAAAATCGCTTAAAAGTCAAATCAAACATTTTAGTGGCAGTAAGAATTCACCACCTGAACACAACAGAGGCCTTTACAGTTCATTGGTTCAAGCCTGATCTCTGCGTTCGAAGAGAGAGGTACGTCCAAGCTTTAATTGCACCTTTGTGGTAATCTCCCCAAGACAGTTTTTATTTTTAAGGTAGCGTCTATCACGAACTGAGATCAGTTGGAGGACCACTGAAAACCTGGAAGCATTGAACAGTGTTTTCATTTTGTAGGTTTGCCACTTTTCCCCAAGCACTATGTCCCATATTGTTGATATTTGTGTTGAGTCAGCTGTTTCACATGTGTAAGGTGTGACCTGTATAAACATGGATTCAGTCAGTCATCAATCTTCCTTCCCACTTGTCCATGTTGGACTTTAAGATGTCAACAATGTCACAATCAATACTTTGTTTTCTATCGATAAACTCTTTTCCGAGGTCTTATATTCTTGTGAACCCTGTGGGCTCACCTTTAGTTAGTCGTTGGTGCTCGTTCAGTCTGATTTTGAGTGATCTCGACATTTTACATACATAATTAACTAGGCATTCGGCACGAGATATTTTGTAAGTGATATTGTTTTGGATATTTTACTTTGATTTAATTTTGATGTGAGGTTCATTGGCTCAAATGTGGTTCGAATAGCTGCTGTCCTGAGATTTCTTTGCATTGATTTAGATGTTCCTTTCATATATGGCGGTACTTTTTTACTAGCATTGCTTGCGAAGTGGGAGTAGTATGGTTATCTAGAAACCTTGAAAACATGCGTCGATGTCTTTCTAAAATCTATTATCGAACATATTGGATACCCTTCTTTACGTAGTTTTATCATCCCGTGTTGTCTAGACATATTATAAGACTCAGACATGATTTCAAACAATTTGGACTTACCAGTAGCTTGTTTTATTTTACTTTTGCCCTTTCTTTCATAGTTTTATTCGCGATTGTGTTAGTTGATTTATTCACTATGCAGTTACATCCAAATAGTAGATGTTCATTCACTTTTTCATTACACGTGATCTTGTTGAGAATAACCGTTACATTTCTTATGTCTCCCTAAGCAAAGACAAATAGAAAACGATATGAGATGAGTGTAAAAAAACCGCAGTACTGCTATACACGAAAGATACATCTAAATCAATGCAAAGAAATCTCAGGAGAGCAGCTATCCCAACCCTATTTAGGCCAATGAACCTCATCAAAATTAAATCAAAGAAAGTAAAATATCCAAAGCACTCATCATATTGCCACATATATAACTGATAATTTCGAACTGTTTCATAGATTGACTGTCGTGGTAATCTCACTGTTATGTACAGACTTTAATTCTTTGATCAGACAATGTGAATGTATATCTGTAGTGACTGAGGAAGAAGTTGTTGAAAAGGATATTCTGCAGTGTATCATAGGTAAATTTTGATGAAAAGATTACACACAATCATAAGTAATATTCCGAGGAATTTACTGCCTATGATCACAACATTTATTTATATATTCTTTGTTCATGAAACTGTCTTTAGAATTACAGTGAAGATTTTCATGGAGCACCATCTGAACCTAGTGAACTGATATTAGTTATAAGTAGGAGCTGGCTGTTCAATCTAGGATATCTGGTTTATTTTATGCATGCCATTTGAACTGAAAAAATAGCATTAAACAGCGCTGTCAATAATACCACTTTCGTATTGACTATTTAATTGTAGTGTGTTTACGGTAGGTATATGGTATTTTTTTTCAAAAAGTGAGTAATTTTATTGAATTTAGACTTAAATGATTTGTTACAACTCTGAAGCAATACATCAATAGGTATACCGGATATTGTTTGAAGATTGAACCCAATTATGGCGTACCAATGCTAATACATCTACGCATTGTGCATTGAGCATATATATGGCTAAATTAAAGTACAACTTATTTGCATAAGAATACAGTTGCGTATATATATATATATATATATATATATATATATATATATATATATATATATAAACTAATTGCGAATTGATTTCTTATTTATTTTTATGAAAGTTAAGCAATCAGTTTTGAAGGTTATAAAGTGGTAAATAGAAAACTTTATAATGAAATAAGAAATGTTTATGTTATTATTGAAACGTTTATTTTGAAATTTCAGTTACGTGTTATACGAGCATATCGTCTATATTGGCGTAGAAATAATTCCTATTCAACAAACAATGATAAATCTTTTGAATCGTCAACATGTCGGTCTATAGCATACTTAACTGAAGCATTTAATCAATGGCACCAAGAGGTGGTGATCAAGGATAATCATGAAACAAAATGTGAGCAGTCTGTAAATCAGATTTGAAACACGTTAAAAAAAGGATTCACTTTCGCCTAAGTATACGCGTAAAGTTATACTTTGTGTCTTACTTTTTGTTCTTATCCGTAATGTCAATAATAGTAGTTGCTATTATTATCATTCAGATCCTTCAGATTGTTTTTATAAATTAAAAATCTTATAGATAGTAAATATAAGCTTTTAAATATTATATTTCATAAAAAGTTGTTATATTTTTAAGAAATTATTGTAGTAATAATTTTCATGATAATTTCCCTCTTCAAATCCGTTTATTCGTAACTAATAATCCCCACCATCAATTAACTCTGTGATGTATGAGAAGCTGCTACACCATAAAAAAGGCACATTTCTTCTTAAATATCTCTAACTCAAGATTTTATTCTAACCTCATAAAAACAACCACCTGACAAGCTTACAGGAAATCGTTCCAACACAACAAATCAAATCAACAGCTTGATAATACAATCGTTTTCACCGCAAAAAGGGTTGACATAACTATTGAATAATATATTGAAACTAAACAATTCAGTGTCAGAGCATGGACATTCGTTACGACTGATGTCCATATAAATGAATGGAGTGAAAAACTAGTGGCTATAAAGAAAACCCTAACAACTACTGAAATAGCTTTTAGGTTTTTATGTTTCTTGATAAAACTTCCTTTGTATCTGAACAGAGAGGCCTAATGAGTTAAATACTACGTAGTTGTCGGGCGGACATTAGATTCTAATGACTGTAAAAGCCGCCCTAAAAACAACTTAGATGATCAACTAAAATTGTTTAGTTTGTGAAAATCAGCCTTTTCAATCGAAATATAGAAATGTAATTGGTTGTTTCAGTCACTGCTAAGGTAGCCTTTACAGTCACTCAAAATCTCATAATCTTCAGATTACAAACTCGAAATTTCCAACTTTTAATATTCCGATCATGTTAGCTGCAGTTACTAAAATGGTCTGTAAAGATGCTAAACATTTTATAGTGATCTAAGTTTCTGAGCTGTCAATATAGACATTTGGATCACATCACTTTGGAAGTTGGAGATATTACCTGATGTTTCTAAACTTCACAGTAATAACCACTAAACTTAACACAACCGCTGGTTTAACTACTGGGACACATCGATCAGCACTATAAATTAGTGTTGACTAAAAGGTTGTATTGATAATCATACTAGTGTAGATCTCACATTAGATCCCTTTTTTGTCTAAACTAACCATAGTCAAGTCCATAAGTATGACTCGATCAAATTTCACTCCTGTATGCTTTGAATAAGAGCTTTCCCGCTACAATCTTTTTCTTTTACTTTTAAGACACTACTTAACGTCTGTAAGCGATTCATTTTGACAAATATGTCCACTGAATGTTATTAGTAAAAGAAAATGGATGTCCTATTACCTATTCTTGGGGATTGACTCTACACTGTATTGGAAACTATTGGTAGATCCCCAAAATAACAAGCTGCTTGACTAATGCTTGCATTGTCGGTATGGTCAGAAACAACGTCTAAGAACCTAGTGGTCTGGAGCTGAGCTGCACATCCACCTCAAACTATAAATACCAATCAGTAGGTCGTGGAAAATATGCAGGGTTCATTAAAATCACTACAGACCTAAATGCTAACTGCATATCTGTAACCAGAAATGAATCCAGGCCTTTCTCAGAGATCAGTAAAAAGAATGTAAGGGTGAGATCCTAATACATTTGCATGTGGTATTAGTGAACAGTATTAACTTTGTAGAGTCACACCATTTGAAGACTTTATGTGTCCAAATAAGCAGAAGACAGACAGGTCGTAAAACGGTCTCATCTTTTTATCTTTGGAAACTAGAAGTACAGTCGTCAGTTGTGCTGCTGCAGGTATGTTCCTGTAAAAAGCCACTGCGCATTTCAGCTAAGGTTTTGCTACGCGAAATTGAAACTGAACACGTGGTTAAGTCTCTTTTGACAGCAGTCTTTTACTTCTACACCAAAAACCTTCGGTAACTTCTCAACTACTGATAAGACTTTCAAGAGACACTTACTACAATAGTTTGCTTATTTCTGGAAGTCACACTTTTCACTAAATCAATAGGATGCTCCACGGCGTTGATAAGAAATGAAGGAGGACTTTAGTGAAGAAGCAGGCGCATGATTTTTAGAGATAATATACAAACTGTCAACTGACTCAGAAAGTTTGATGACCATGCTCTTTGACGTTCCCAAGTCTTCTGAAGAAAATATATTACCTATATTCGCAACCTGCTGTCGGCTGTACACTTTCGTGCTGATGTAGGATCTCTTAGGCTTTCCATTTCTTTGCTAACTTGTGTTTTCAGTCGATCCAACAAAGAAATTACTTGCTTGCTGGACTTGCTTTATACCGTCACCAGAGTATGACTTTTGCTGAAGAAAATTATTTCTTCAACAACATTTATTTAGAACCGTCTTCAACTTGAATTGCTCATATTCTCTGTCGCTATTCTGAGATCCTCTGATAATTGTCGGTATTCAAGAATAAACTCCTTCATTTCACTGAAATTAAATCATTATAATAATAATAGGATAATATAAACGGAGATAATTCTTTTCCCTTCGCATATTAACAAGATAGCATAGGTTCTCAAAAGGCTCACATAGCATCAGGAAACCATCACCAGACCTGATAAAGGAGTAATTACAGACAGGGACGATTATTTCAGAGAGATGGACTTAGTAGTGCAAGATGAGAGCAAAGTCTTAGAGACTGAAGTTAACAAAAGACCTAACCGATAAAGCAGAAAAAGACCTAACTATCTTACTAAAAAAAATGGAAGATGACGGGTGCATTTCGTTCACTATGTTTGGTAGTTTTAAACCTCTATAAGCGGCACGATTCCATAGATGTAAGTTATACCAAAATACACAAACCTGAGGTGCCTTTTCGTCCTATTTTTTAGATGTGGCTAGCTCATCTTGCCACGCAGAATCCAAGTGGCTGGCACAACTAATTCAACCTCTGGATAATGAGAATCGAAATGTAGTGTCAAAGGCACTTTCAACTTCAACAAGTTAGAAATTTAAATATATGATATCACTTGACTTCACAACTTTGCTAACTAACATCCCTTTTATTGAAACCTTGGATCCATTTTGGGAAAAGTTGTTAGAGATACAGTTAGATGATGATTTTCCTACTAGGAATTTGAAAGAACTATTGTATAAATGCACAATGAATGTTAATTTCGCAGGCATTGGTGATTTGTAAAAGCAAGTTGACGAAGTGACACTGGATTTCTACTAGACGCTATATTTGCAGACATTTCAAAACATTGAGAATTCCTATTGTGAAAATTATCAGAAGATATGTCAGCGAACGGTAAAGTTTTCGATCGAATTTCCTAATATACATAGCTTTCAACGTACGCATATGGTATCAACCAGCTAAAGTGGTTTGTCATTCAACGATAAAAAAGATGCAGATTAATAAAAGTACTGGTAGTGAAGGAAATGAAAAGACAGACGACATGTGGTACAGTATGGTGCACATTGCACTTAGACAGTCATTTGCAAGGTGTGCTTTATTTCCTCTTCTGCTTCTCTCTTCATTTACTCTTAATACGCACACATTATCTCTTGCGTTTTTTTGGTCAGAATCTTTACCACCCATCACTAGTAATGCCCTATGATTTCTACCGTCCTTCCGACATATACTACTTATATCCGTTCTTATCAGCTACGCTCACTACAGTAGTATAAGGAATAATACAAGTGTTGTGATTGGCATGACAATGTAAACTGGTGTTCAGGCAGATAATATAGGTCAGAACTTGGAATAGGACGATGAAGTTGGCTAGCACTGAAGGATGAAGGCAGTGGATAAATAAAGTCTCAATGTAAATAGTGATGTGAAAGGAGTGACAAAAATAAAATGAAAAGAGTATTAGAAAATCCATAGGTAAGGTCATTCTTTGAGTTTTGTTTGGTCAAATAAGGGATAAACACTTCACAAGTTACATTTGAATACAAAGCTTCAGGTTGTTCATTCGGATTCCAATAATCTCAGCTTATGTAAACGGAGAGTTAGAAAGCCATCAGAAAGGATCAGTGGTATGTGGCGAACCACTGAACGCTTTCTTTTCGCCCACTCTGAGAATACTACCAACTAGATGCAATAAAATGGAGCTGCTAAAAGACTTTACCTATCAATTTCGCAGTGAAGAAGGTAAGCGTTCGGCAATTCATTGGTTAAGTTGTCTAGTCGTATGCCCTATATAGCCGTCTCCAACGGATGAGCTATATCGATTACTACACATAGAATGGAACGAAACTCGCTAACTTATCTTTAATTCGACACAAAACAATTTTTATACAAGAAAACGATAGACTAAGATTTTCTGCACAAAAAACTATTGATAGTCCTCAATCGCTTATGGAATAGTATATCACTGAAGTATATCTCCATTAAATTGTATCTTTTTGAACAATTCCTACCTCAAGTTTTCTGACCGCTTCATTCACATGCTTCTTTATAAATTGTAAGAATAACCCTTTTCAATTGATGAACTTGAAATGTAGTCTCACTCTATGACGTGTCGTTTGAGCAGATTCCCTTGCTGCAGTTGTTAAACATCTCACTAGATTTCTTTTGTACTGTATAGGTATAAGACTAAAGAACTTTGTATATTGAAATAAATATTTGATACATCTGTATACCCTTCTACAGAGAGAGTCATCTCTCCATCTATCTAATAGAACAGCAAGAACGTTTAAATTATTGTCATGCTTTTATTTGTAAGTGGAGGTCTGTGCTGTTAAAGTTCCTTAATAGTTAGTTCCCTACTGTGACTTGTGATAATAGACTTATGTCATATATATATATATATATATATATATATATATATATATATATATATATATAGCCTGTTGGTGATTTCCTTCATTGGTTTATTCTCTAATTTTACTCGAAGGAAGTCTGTAAGGATTGAGCCTGGTGGAGAGCCTATGGCGATTCCATCCACTTGTCAACAATATGTATTAGAGACAAAGTATGCATCCATTGTGCACCTGATAAGTGACTACTAGAGGTTAAACTCATAAATTATAATGTTGATTTGTTTCCCAACCATATGTGATATAGCGGAATACACCCCTTTGATTATAGGAAAAGACAAAAGGCAGTTGCAGCAAAGAAAAGTGTTTCTTTTCGATAAAGTCATTTACTAAGCTGTACATTCGTGAATTTATGTTTCAGTGGACAGAACGTTACAGAATTATTTCCGGTTAGGGGGCAATATATATTGAATAACTAAAGTAAGTTAATTAATGCACATTTGGGTTTAGAGTGGGAAAAGAGACAAGGGGTTATGATCTATGATGGTCATAGATTTAGCCGGTATTACACAATTACAGCTTTATTTTTGTAATCCATTGTTTATTTTCGCACTTCGTCATAGATTTATCATGTATTACGTTATCACATTAAACTGCATAATCCCTTTTCTGTTTTCCAAGATGCGTATTAATTAACTTCCTTTAGTTATTCAATATATATTGCCCCCTAACCGGAAATAATTCTGTAACGTTCTGTCCATTGAAACATAAATTCACGAATGTACAGCTGAGTAAATGACTTTGTCGAAAAAAAAACATTTTTCTTTGCTGAAACCGCCATAGTGACCTGCACATTTATGAACAGGGACGATAAACTCAATGATGTCGTACGTTTCCCACTCACATTCGCGTCTGTGAAGGGGTCCTAAGATCTGAACCAACCGTTTTGCCACCTGATTAGATGGCGAGTTATACATATTTAAAACTGGATGAGTGAGAGTGAGGCCGGGTATGCGAATTCTAGATAGACCATAGGGCCGTGGTATATTATATATAGCCTATGAGCTCAAGTGGGTCTTGCAACACTGCTGAGATTATGTCACTTTGTTTCAGTTCTTTAAGACAGTCAGCTGATTTCTCAACTTTGCATTCAAATTTCTAGAATCATAATGCTTCGGAAATTTAGTTCGAATAATTTGAAGATAATACATTCCGTTCGTGTAGTCATTTTTACCAAACAACAATAAACCTCCTTCCTTGTCCAGCTTACTCATAACTAGTTTTTCATTCTTCCTTAGATTTCGTAAGGGTGGATGCTATTTTGTTAACCAACTGTTTCCAGAACCCTTACCATTTTTGAACTGTTGGCAGCTGTCCACTAATGTCGTTTTAAACCTGGTAAATTCATTGTGTGACGATACAACTAAGACATAGGAGAGGGAACAAGTTTTTAAATTGTATATCTATATCTATTTCACTAATTTTCTGTACATGATCACTAAATTTTTGGCCTAGAGGTAGGATCTCTAGTCGAAGTGTTTCTACTGCAACACAGGAAAGTCGTGAACATTTGGGTCGGAAGGCAATTTTCTCTCTGGTTTTAGGTTTGAAGAGGTTTATTCTTTTCTTGATATGCTCTGTGTGACGTCATTCACGTAGTCGAAAAATATTAATTTAACTTCATGGGCAGTTCTTCATCTGTGACCCTTCTTTGTGATAAAATTGTTTCTACAACTATCAGTATATGCATTTTAAGGAGTTCATTTGCTAAAGTGCATTGATTGTGGTGAGCTGAATCAGCCAACAAACTGTGAGGAGCGAGAAGATGGGCATGTGCTATTTGATCAATGAAAAGACCCTAGAAGATTTGGATTTCGCCTATGATTTATGTTTAGCGTCGCACAAGCTCGAAGATCTACAGGCGAAAACCAACAAGTTGGCCGAAGACGCAGCGAAGACGGGACTTCAGTTGAACATAGAGAAGACAGAGGTAATCAATATATCCAACCAACAATAGCATCAACAACAAGCACCAATCACCATTAACACGAGAAACCCAAAGGAAGTAGTCTCTTTCACCTACCTACCTAGGCAGCATCATTTCAACTACAGGCGGCGGGCACAAATGAGGATGTCTGAGCCAGTATCGGAAAGACAGCGAGACAAATATCCCTTCATTAATCTGAAATAATCAGTGTAGAGATCTACTGCACCCAGCAAAAAGAACAAGATCCTGATTTTCAACACCAACGTCAAGTAAGTCAATGCTTTTATTTGATGTTTGAGAGACTTGGCGCGTTACGAGGGCACTTTCAATAGACTGCAGGCAATCATCAGCAGCTGCCTATGCTCGATGCTGAAGATCAGATAACCAGAAAGAATAAGCAACATAGAAGTTTGACAACGAAACAACCAAGGACCCAATGCGTAACAGATATGAAGAAGAAACAAGAGATGGATTGAACACACACTAAGAGCATCGTTTGGGGACATCACGTGCCAGGCCGTCGAGTGGGAACGATTTGGGCGTGGGAGGGTGACATAGAGGAGATGGTGTGAGAAAGAAATGAAAGATTCTGGGAAGTCGTGGAGCCAGGTTGACAAGACTGGAGAGAAGAGAGTGAAATGGCGACGTGCTACTGAAGCCCTATGTTCCACTGGGAAATCAACGGACAAATAATAAAAATAATAGTGATCATAGTAATAATAATAACATTTTAAGTGTTTCTGAATTGTGATAAACCCTGTTACGCCAAAAAGATTTCCAGTGATTTCGTGATATTCGTTTTGTAGACATTCATTAATAACTTTCAGACGTTTTCACTGTAGTGAGTCTAGCATAATACTTCAGGAAGTCATTTGTAGCTAAATTGGGAAACATCCCTTCGAAACATGAAATTACCAGTATTTTGTTGTACTACTGATAGATAGATAGATGATAACTTGTCGGTATTTAATAAGTGGCTGTGCAGTAAATCGGTGCTGAAACACTTCAACAACGTTCATCCATTAGTTCATTTTACATACGAAAGTGAAATCAGTAATTCCATACACTTTCTTGACTTGTCAATGACAAGACGTTGACTAGGCGTTGCTGACAAGAATGGATATAAGTAGTGTGTTAAGAGGGCAGCAATAATCACATGGAGTTACCAGCAGTGGGTAAGGATCCTGCCCAGAGGAACGCAAGAGATAATGTGAGCATATTAAGAGTGAATGAAGAGAGAAGCAGAAGAGGAAATGAAGCACATTTTGCAAATGACTGTCTTAGTGGAAGGTATACAATCCTTAGTGACTACTGCTCAAGATTAGGATCAATGCGCTACTGGAAGTTTGAAGAAAAATTCCTATTGTAATCTGATATCAAAGTAAACATGGTTGATGTTAACTCTTAGTGCGAGTTTTTCACAAGAAAGAATTAAATTCTTTTTCTGCGTCTCTATTTGAAGACAGATACTCTAAGCGTGATTTCGCAAATATTTCCTTATAAACCTTTATGTTACAATTAATACTTCTTCATGTTATTGCATTTATTTTATACACTTCTCCTAATATCTGCAGAACGAAGTTTGGTTTATTTGTGCACTTGGAATTTGCTACGAATACAATTTTGTTCTCGATTGCATGGAAGTATACCTGTATTCCACCCCCACCCCCCACCCCCCTCTCCTACTGTATTTTACTCCTTATTGCCTGTGCCTACGACCAGCTCTGATAGAATGGTTTTACAAATATACAGGAGACCCATCTCTTTCAAAGATAATTAGCAGTATACTAAACTGCAGTACCTTTAGAGCTTTGTCATAATCATGTCTGTCGACTCATCGAATTATGTCACAGACTAAATTGGTAGTACATTGGAACAAAAACAGTTTCCAAGATCCTTGTTTTTGAATTCATTTTATAATGTTCATTTGCTATAAGCTTATTTTCTTTTAGAATTTTCACTGTCCTGCTTTTTACGTTGGTATTAATAGTTTCTATGTACACTACATATCCTATCACAATGGGTAACTACAACGTTTTACTCAAGTTGTCTTTGCACGCCTTTTAGTAGTCGTCCAATTCTCAATCCTAGGCTGAAGTACACCACATCTAACCTTAGCTCATCATCCTGTATAATGCAATTTAACTGTTACTGTGAAACAAGTTAGATAGGGAAAGTGCGTCTGAAGATTCGAAAACATTTGCCAGCCTGCTTTGGAAAAGGTGAAATTAAAGCTATAAACAGTCCTATCGAAGAAATCTTGGTAGATACAGGGAACTACAGAGATGGTTTATAAGCCGTGTTCTGAAAATATTACCTTACATTTTAAGAATGATAAGTTCTATGCTTTTAAGTTCAACTTACGTAAGGAACGAATGTTGAAGAAAATTTCAAGTAGGTTGCGGATATTTCAATGTCTGCACCCGATTTAAGCTTTTGGGGAAGGGTACCCATATTTTCCTGAACAACGATTTCTTCCCAATAAGGTGCTTAGATTTTTCGAATACTCGAAAGGCTAAAGAAGATAGTTGAAGAGAATGTGAAGGTCCATATGAACGTTGATATAACGGTTTAGGATGGCGGTGCAGTTGCGAAAAGTTGACGAAAAAATCTGATCAACCCTTGGGATCGATGTTACCTATTTAATAATTCTGGAAGTGGATAGTGTTTTGTAACTTGATGGTCAACAATCGTTTGGATGTTCTATTTGTCAATTAGGTGTCCTAGTTAGTTCAAACGGCTTTTCTCGAAGTAACCTTACCCAAGGTTAATCAATATGATATGCTGGTCTAGTTCAAAAACAGCTTTCTTATGAGTTAAATACTCTGTTTCTTCTTTACTAATGATAAGAAATTAATTAAAATATGCATATATGAAAATTAAGTTGTAAACTAGCTGATAAATGAGATCAGATCATTTAGGCTTCACTCAAAAGGCATACAGATAAAGTCATATAATTCAAAACGAGCGGGGACTGCATTCTTATGAATGTCATCGAGATCCAGTAGTACGCTTTGATGAGGTTGGCCATGGAGAACACATTGACATCCGGTAAATCTATAAAATCAGTCTGAGGTAATAGACAATCATGTAGAACAGTGTTTATTTAAGGCGTCATAGTCACAAACAGGCGGACGTTAGATGACTTCTTTGGTGGTACGGTTGTTTAAATATTGTGGACCACATCATGCTTAAGATTGCTTTTGCTATAGAATGATTGAAGAACTCCCGGAAAGTTATTTGATACCCCGATGTAGTGACTCAGCAAAGACTATTCCTCAGCAGCGTGTGTCTTCCAGTGTCAGAATGACTTTCCTCATTCCCCTGATCATGATAACTGGCTGAGGGTGATAGGTAGCATCACCTCTAATAGAATGGATTGAAATTGAAGCGAAATTATCGTTCTCACTTGGCGAACGAGAAATGGCCGTCGTCAATTGATGGGGCAAGCAGATACAAGTAGTATTTCCCTTTTCTTGACAGTATGACGTACGATGATACCCTTAAGACTCAAGAATTTTCCATTTGGGCAAAGCTCTTGCTCCGTTGGCATAATTTCACTAATGGCGAAACATACCCATTTTTCATCAATAAGAACCAGACATGTATCAGCGAATAAATATTTCTTTTCAGCGACTTCATTATCAAGCTGTACAGTCGTATTTATACTCCGCAAAATGACAGGTAATTGCACTAAAAAGTTGCTCAGTCAATATGCGAAATATATAATAGGTGTAGGTGGTGGTATTTGTTCAAGTGGAAGAAACAGAAAATAGGTGACTGAATAAGGAACAAATTGATAACAAGTGGTGAGATAAGAGACATGTGCTGTCAAAGGATTGTAAAACGGTGATAATTTAGCTGAAACATGCAAAATAGGTCAATAAATAAGGAATGAATTGATATAAAATAGTGAAATATGGGTGAAATGTTGTCCATGAAGTGGAAATTGGTAATAATGATGATAATAAAAGAGAAGTATACCAAAGTGAAATGAAATTGACAAAGTCAATAAAATAAATTGTTAAGGCCAAGGTAGAGAAAGTGGTTTCACAAAACGTTTTCGAATGCAAAGTCTCAGTTTTTGTTCATTCATAGCTAATACTTCAGCTATGCATAAGTGGTGGAAACGTTAACCTATGGAGTAGTTCAATTTAACTTTGTAAATTACTTTAAAGGATGAATCTCGAGGTGCTGAATGACCGAATTCAACACGGTGTTCACATATGGATGAAGTCGTTCTCCTATGCTCGCCTGTGGTAAACCAAACCGGGTAATGTTCAGCTAAGCGTTTTCGGAGTGCCCGCTTACAACGTCCAATATAGTCAGCTCCACAGGAGCATGTGAACTTGTAGATACACATAGATGTGTACATAAGTGGAAGCCTATCCTTCACGCATTGACGAATCAGACGGCGGCTGGAGAATATCAATCTCAACCTAGCAGCATAGAAGCTACTATTGATATACCTTGACGGACGATTTTTCAGCACTTCGGTTGTGGTGTCTCCTTTGAATTCTAGACTCATGGTTAAGATTTTCTTAGGGACTGTAATGGGATGGGGAGTGGTTTGTTTCTTCAGATTTGTATCAATAAGAGTCTTTTAGGATGTCCGTTACTAGATAGTATTTTTCTAAGAGTTTCGATTTCAGCATCCACCGTGTCTTCTGAGCATATTTTATAAATTCTGGAACACAGTGAGTGAATGAGATTTCTTTGGCAACTAAGAGGTACCCAACGATCAAAGTTAGAGAACTGGACAGCAGAAACGTTGGGCAATAAGCCTAATGGTGGCTCGTACATCTGGATGGGGCAGTCTGTTCAACGTATTGAAGACGTTGCGTCGACATCTCTTAGGAACTATTGGGCATGGTTGACTAGCAGAGACATGTCATAAAATTGTATTCTTGCCTGATTCTACTGGACACAGTTGTAGCTTGAGAGTTATGTACGACAACTCACGATGCAGCTCAACGTCTTTTTGACACCGAGTTAGTTCAACGAGATCAGCGCCCTCGACAAATTTTATCGAAACTATTCGAGATAGTGCATCGGCTACGGAGTTACTTGCCTCGGAAATGTGGCAGATATCTCATGTGAACTGGTAAATGTAGTCCAGTTGTCGCGACTCATGAGGGGAGTATTTGTCAGATGCCGAGCTAAGAGAGAAGGTTAACGGTTTGTGATTTGTGAAAATAATGAAATCACGACCTTCCACCGAATATCGAAAATGGCGTACAGAACAGTACTTGGCTAGAAGTTCCCTATCAAATGTACTATATCTTGTTTCCGCGTCTTACAGCCGCCCGAGAAAAAAGGCTAACGGTTGCCACTGCTTGTCAGCCAACTGTTGCAAAACTGCTCCAACTGCTGAATCAGATGCATCAACAGCAAACTCAAGGGAGCATTGGGGTCGTGATGCATAAGGAAGGTGGCGTTTGAAATGGCTTCCTTGACTTTAGAGAAAGCAAGTTGTCCATAGTCACGAACTTCATAGTCTCTCGAAGTAGATCTGTTAATGGTCTCATGACAGAGGCATAGTCGGGATAAACCTTCTGTAATAACTTACCAAGCCATTGAAAGTGCGGAGATGTTTCACAGTGGCCGGCTCTTGATAGTTCGTAAGAGCCGCCACTTTATCTCTCAATGGGTGTATACCTTTGTTGTCAGTGGAATGCCCGAGGAAGCTGAGTGATTCAACGCCTATTTCACACTTCTACAAGTTTACTGTGATGCCATGTTTTTTAGCCTTTCGAATACGAGGTCCGAATGTTTAAGGTGAGTTTCCTTATCTGGACTCGCAATGAGACAGTCATCGGTGTAGCCGTGACAAAATCTAAACCACGGAAGACATCATCCATAAAGCATTGGAATGTTTGCGCTGCATTCCGAAGACCAAATGACATGTGCAGGAATTCAAACAAACCAAAAGGAGTAATAATGATTGTTTTCGCGATATCCTCTACTGCCATAGGTGTCTGATTATACGCTTTGACCAGATCGATTTTGGAGAATATGTTCGTTCCGCATAACGTCGCAGTCGTAAACATGAGGTATTGAGTAGCATTCCGGTATTGTTTTGACGTTAGGCCTTCAGTGATCACCGGTTGGACACCAGTCATTGCCATCCATTTTGGGAGCCATATGCAATGGTGATGCCCAAGGACTACTTCAAGGTTTGATAATACCCAGTTCGAGCATGTGGTCGAATTCACTCTTCGCCGTTTTCGGCTTATCTGGGGATAGACAGCGTGCTTTAGATGCCACAGATGGACTTGTGGTTGTGACGTGATGCATAACATTGCTGGTTATACACGGAAGAGTATGCATCGGTTGTTGTAATTCTGGATATTTCTCTAACACTGCCTGATAGGACGCGTCGCCTGATTGTTTAGTTCTAACAATGGCTAAACTTGGACCTACATAGGGGGTGCCACCAATGGATAACTCTGTGTTGTTATCTGTCAGTCGTCAACAACGAGCATCTACAAGTAGATCGTAATGGTTTAGGAAATCTATGCCAATGATGGGCATAGAAACGTCAGATAGGAGGAAAATCCAGTGAATAGATTTACGTAAACCTCAGTTGAGGTAGGCATACCGTCTCCCAAATGATGCAATCACCTTGTCATCAGCTGCTTGAAGAATGAAGGGTGGGTCGTGATGACGTTCCTTTGTCGGTGGGGGAAGAAAGCTAACTTCTGCGCAGGTGTCGACAAGGTAGCGAAGTTCCGTTTTTATATCTGTGACGTAAA